GGAAGAAATTACGAATGGACACCAGCGAAATTCAAGGCCCACAGGCCCACAAGCCAGTGTGCATTAAATGAGTATGAGGGACCAATTTTGTACTTACGACCTGTCATGAAGAACGACAATGTCACTTCGTCCAATTCCTTTCCGCCGCTGTCGGTGAAACTTCCACTATTGGTTAAGGTGTGCCTAGTGTAGATACCATGTTCTTTTGGTCGGGCGGTGTACGAGCGACTTGATCGTTGTCCCATGGTCGGGTTGTAACTTCGATGTAACAACAAATCTTCCAGATAAGATGCATAATCTACCGGATAATGTTCAGTACAAACGTTTATATGGCCAAATTCCAGGTGTACCAGCTAATATTTGTAATCTATCGATCCGTAATTTGGAATCATTTTCCCACATTTTAATCTAAGTCGAAATTTCTCTTTCTCTCATTGAGATCTGACGATATTAGAGCTCTTTCGAAATCAATCTTGAATTCAGTTTTGACTTTCAAATTCAGCGTATTTTGCTGAATAGCAGAAACTTTCTTTTCGAAGACAACTAATTTAGACGGCCAGGCACATCACATTTCACCATATGACAGACAACGCAGAAGCAGTGTGCTCCGAGACACATGGCTCCCATGACGTATGCTGTGTAGGCTGTATGAGCAGTCTGGTACCTATTCTGGTCCAATAAGAAGTATACAACAACAAAAAATATTCAGTTTCAGAGTTTATAATATGGTCATCATGGAGGACCAATTTAATCTTATACCCTGCCAACGAAAAACAAAATGGAGGCGAACGCAAGGTCAAATCCAGACGCAAATTCATAATTCTAATCGAAAGCTCATGACTCCTTGGATTGAATCCTGTCTTGCCTTCGTCCCGCGCGTCATCGCACATTGACTCGGGAAGAACGACTTGACATCATCCGGCTGCACGCATGGTTCAGAGGACAAAAATCCAAGGCTGCAGCACGTCAAGTGTCCGAGGCACTCGGTCGCAGCCTGGGTGTTGTCAAGGATGTTTGGCGAGAGTACTTGTCGTCGGGATCAGTTACAGTTGTAGCTCCACCATACAACACCACATCACACAGCACAACAATACCACGAACCAAGCGAGTGGTTGCCATTTTTTACATGGTACAAGAGTTCGTGCGCAATCGTCGCGCAACGTGCATAAGGACGACAGCTGTCGATGTCGTCATGCACCTAAGGGAAATATGTGTTATCGACTTTGACGTCAACGGCGCAACCTCCTACAGAGCGGTCCTCCGGTCTGTGAGAGGTACCTGAGCCGGGAGGGATACAAGCGAGGATAAAAAAGGGGTCATCAACATACCACTTGTCGCGCAGGAACACACTGGAGCGGGACGCATATGTGCAGCGTATGCAACCGAATTTAACATCCACCCAACGGCAACACGTCTACATAGACGAGTCGTATCGTACATCCCCCACCACTACAAGTGCCGTAACCACAACTTGTACGACCCGTTGGATACATTGGATATTGTGGCGAAGGAGAAGCACAAAGGACGGAGATACTACATTGTAGCTGCAATTCTTGACCCCCCATCATCCACAACCAAGACTGGAGCTGGACATTTTTACTGGTGGGAAGTCAACGCGCCAGGAGCCAAAGGATTACCATGGGATGTTCACCCATAGCTACTATGTGCGGTGGTTTGCCAGGCTACTAGACGAGCAGGACGACATCGGCGTGTCCCAAACGCCCTGATTGTCATGGACAACGCTAAATATCACAAAGGGCGACCGGATAATACACCATCCAGTCGACAGCGCAAAGGCGCGTTGTTGGAAGCTTGCAGATTGTACGGCATCCCCGGGTTGGACACCGACTACAAGAGTGTTATTTGGGCCAAGTTGAAGGCGTAGATTGATCCGAACATTCTCCAGTGGTGATGACGATGGCTATAGATCGAGGTCATACTGTCACTTTTACACCACCACACCATTCCGAACTTCAGCCTATTAAAATGTTCTGGACTCTTGCGAAGGGCGATGTTGGCCGCCAGTACACGGAACTGGCAAAGTTCCCTGAGGTGTAGGAGCGACTCAAGGCGGCATTTTTAAAGTTGACATCCCATGCAATTAAAGGGTGCGTCAAAGTCGCCAAAGACAAGTTACAAAAATTGCATGAACATCTACTTCAGATTGATGTACTCGAGTCGGACGAAGTATCCTCTGTAGGAAGTTGCCAACTTTGTGATTCAGTATTCTTGAAGTTGATAATATATTAATTGGGTCGTTTGTTGATGTCGTAAACTGTAAAGCGAAATCGTCACCGTCGAGCAGCTTGCTGAACGATGAGGGCTGTAGCTTCGTTTCCTCCAGCTGCGTCAGGCAAGGGCACTTGGACTCAATTGTTAGCACGTGAAAAACACTGTATTATTTGCGAAGGGATTCCTTACTCCAAAGCCGAGTGGCGTTGAGTCTGTGGCTGACTTGGGTCAAGAACCCCAATTTCAGTTAAATGATGGAAGATTTTTGATGAAGTGCACCAACCAACAACTTGCCTTGCATTTAATCCTTTCGAATACTCCGATGTATCCGGATTTCTTGGAGGCTGTACCCAATTGCCACGTGGAAAAACGCAGTCGAGGTAGGTTTAACGCAATTCTGGTGAAATTTAACTCGAATACCTATGAAGTTTAACGATAAAACGTCGACACCTCTGAATGACACTGTTTGGTGATTTGTTTGTGATTGGATTATTA